TATGCTTTAACCGATTCTCTATTATCTAATCAGTAGCCACAAAGTGATTACTGCATATTTTTGCAGTTTTATTAAACTTATTTTTTTATTTGACACTCGATAGCCATTGACTTCTCCTTATTAGATCCTTGGGAAAACTAAAAGTGAAATAAAAAATATTAAGTTCAGTTTTACTGTTTATCCTTTATCTTCTTTTCATGGTCACCATATCAGTGTTTGTTTATTTTTATTTTGCAATATGAACTGTGCTTTGATTAGAAAATTTCTGAAATATGCCACTGTAAATAAATAAATCATATATTACTTTAGATACCATATTATTGTAAATTATCAAAAATTGAAGGATTCTACGTTAAAAACATTTTTTTTATAAAATGCAAGCAGTCATCAATTATAGTAACTTACGACTCACCTGTGAAATATCAAAGAACATCCAGGATGCCATTTGCTTCCGCAACCAAGGACTACACATTTCTGAACCATTTTTCACGATTTGATAGCGAGAAACGTTTATATATGAATCACAATTTTCGAGACGACGAAATTAGTAATTGTCATTCGTCATATTGACACACACGAGGTTGCCATTTTTTGAGGATGCCATTTACCACAACAATGGGGAAATTAGAAAATTTTTTTACGGTGTCTTATTCACATAGCATGGGTACGGTGATGTTTGGGGTTTGAAGTTTTTAGATACAAAACTCGATGTTATTGAGTTTATTTCTAATAGAGATAAACGGTTTTGAGATCAACATATGAAACAGGATTTGAGAATAATATTTATTCATCAACTGTTAACAAATGTCATCGTATCCATTCTATGTGAAACGGTCTATAGTGGAATATAATTTTACAATTTATAGGTTTTAATAATAATTCAACAAATTAAATTGCAGGTCTGGATTATTGATTAATGAGATTGACATGACGACGGTAAAAGTTAATAATTTTTATTAATTTGCAGCTATGTATCTGCCTTCTGATTATAATATTTGCGTACCATTTTTTATTATAGATTTTATTTAATTGTAATTATTGCTTAATAACCCTTTTGTTTAAGTTTTTTGTTACATTGGATTGGATTTCAGAGTATATTTAAAGTACAATCTTATTTCTGATATATAAATAAAGTTTCAAGTCCTATGCAATTAGTGACGTGTAAAATTATTCTATTAGTACCAATTGTCAAAAAGTTTATGAAACATAAAATAGCGAATAACATCAATGATCGGTACAGGTTCCGGGAAAATTTAGATTTATGACATAGCCACCCAGAGTCCAACGAAAGGTCAATAGAGGTCAAATAACTTTGCTTCAACCAATAGTTCTGAGTTTGGCCTCCAGTTCTTTTACTTTATCTTCACGGGTACGACGTTTGGTTTATATGTCAACATTAGTGATGAGCCAACTTATTGATTGCTCGTTACTTAAATTCACTCGATTCATCCAAATTCAAGTTTGGAGTCATGAACAAAAAACGGAGCGCAGAATTCTGCTTGTTTTTTTTATGTGCAGTATTTTCATATGTGCCATTACCCATCCACGCGTCGAATTACATTAATATAAATATCAAAATTAATTCAGTCTAGGTACTTGTGAAAGTCGAAAACTAAGGCGGGAGATCTTGTACTGAGAAGAATCGGCAAAAAACTCAGCAAGGGCTGCTTTTTTCATCCTGTTTTATTTCACACAGAGAAGTCCTATTGGGATGTGACTTAATCAAACTGTGAAGTCACTTTCCATTGCAATATCAGAAATCCTACATACTCATTTACAAATCAATATACAATATTCATAATAAAAAGAAATGGACGAAATAAGTAGTCCAGTTCAGACTCACCCCCATTGGCAGCATCCGTTGACGAGCTGGACACATGAGCCAGCCATAGCTTCGCAACGTCATTCTAACCAGAAGTCATATTATTTTGTACGAATACCTAGTATATTTGATACATATCGGGTAAGTATATAGATAATAAACTGATTATAATTTATTATAATAATTATCTTTTTATGACTTTTGTTGCCCATTAATAAACCCTATTCATTCATTCACCACACGTAATACTCGGTGGAACAGAACGACCGACACTCCCGAGGTTCCTGGAGAGTACTATTTGTCTTTAATATGATATAAAAAAAAAATATGTGTCTAGGTTAAATAGTTTCGGAGATATTAAATTATAAAGTTTTTGGAAAAAAATGAGTGTTTTCAACCCTGAGTCAGCTGTTTTTGGGACGTACTAAGGAACAAGTTTTTAATCCATCATTGACTTCTATTTCTAAAAACGAAATAAACTAGTTTATGATTTATGAGACCGCTTTCATGCAAATTCTACCAGACAATCACTAAACAAGACATTTACTAAACAAAACATTTAATAAATCAATCTAAAAAGATTATTCTAATGTTAACTAATTTACATTACGTTACTACATTATTTCAAATAGTCAGAGTTTCCAAAAAAATGAAACTAAATGGATTAAATAACACGATCATTTATTAAAGTAGTTAAACTAATACATCATCCATTAACATAACAACACTAAGTAAGGGTTTGGTTACTTATTTAAAATGAAAATTCAAAAACAATTGCGTGGTAACAAAATATGAATTCGAAAAATAGATAAACTGAATTCGTCCCTTGTTATCAAAGGCAAGCGAACCGAGCTCCATTCACTCATTCACTCACCGTGCGCGCGACTTTTTTTGTTCTGTCGGCGTCGGCGCCTTTGTTTCAGTCACCGCCGGACATTTGCGCGTGAGGCATGTTACTGCATCTCTGCCACCGTACAGCTGCGTAGCGACTTTTTGTCGATTTTTGTTTTGTTCTAGTGCATTTTTAATTCAATTTTTGTTAATAAGATACTACAGTGTTCGTCTTGAATGTTAAGTTTAGTTTAGTGAAGATTGTGTTTAGTTCTGTGTGAAATGTGATGTGTTTTGAGCGTGCAATGAATGCACTGGCATGCAAAAGAGCGTGCTTAGCTGTCTTCAGAGAAGAATTGGATATTATCTGCGTACAATCGATATCTGCGCATGCGCGTTATAGGACTCTCAACTCTTAGAAATTTAAAATTTTTACTCCATTTTTACGTCTCCTCTATTTTGAAATATTTGTCAAATAAAATGAACGTTTGCATATAACCTAACTTGAAACTTTCGGCTGTGTCGGTCATTTTGTTGCTCCCTGTATAAAAATATTATTGAGACTTGATGTAGTTCTGGGGGCCAATACTACTAAATAAATTTTGTTTAAATCGAATCGAAAACGGATCGAAACCGAACGAATCGTATGTCACTTAGTAGAATAGAAAAACCATTAAAAACTGTAGTTTCGTTCGGTTTCGATCCGTTTTCGATTCGATTTAAACAAAAATTATTTAGTGGAATTGGCCCCCTGTTGTTGTGAGTTCAACAAACAACTAATAGCCATAAAACTAACTTACCTATTTCTTATTGTTTTGTTTAATTTTATAGTGAAAAAATCGTAGACCTACTTTGGCATAAGTATTTTATTTATGAAAACTGTTTGACAGTAATATTATTTTATACCGGTGTTAAATGCCACTTTTAATTATATCACAGCATTAGTTCAATTGATTTCCATAAATTAAAAAAAAAAACCTCTGTGTTCACTTCCATTATGTTAGTTTCCATTTTCCTCTATACAAATAAAGTGAAATTAATTCAAAGATTATTTGTATTAAAAATTACAAAAAAATATTCACCGGCGAATACGAAAAAATCACTGACACCAAATGTTGACTCAGATAAGTTTGTACATGAGTTTTGTTTTTGCTATATACGCTCAACATGATCTTTCGGTGTGACATATTACTTACTAAGTACTTTCACATAGGTACCAACATATCAAGCTTTAGAAATTTGTTGAACATATTTGTCATAACTTATTAGGACTATTATTTACAATTTTATAATAATAATAATAATATATCGCTTCCTATAGTCTATTCAATTTCCTCTGAGACAAAATGTAAACAAACAAACCAATGTTTCTCAAACTTTTTTATTGATGTTGGTATGTAAATAAAATTTGTTAATGGGACAAATTATTGTATGGTAGGTATGCAATACAATAAGTCTATTTCTTTTTCAAATAGCAATTGTAAGAGTCACATAATTTAATTCAGAATCTTCCTCGTCTTCCTCTGAGGAACTAGTCGCACCAACTTCTATCACAAAACGGTCAACCAAATCATTTATGATATCATTAATTTTTAAAAAATTTTGTTCTTCTTTTATGACATGGTCAATGCACTTAACCACAGTTCCTACTGTTACCCTTTTTAGAGCATCGGTTAAAAAAGATTTTATTTCATTTAACTTAAAACTTAGCAATAACAGAAAACGACAAACTTAACAACTGGAATAAACAAATAACAAGAATTTAACGAAAGCATTTTGCACGAGTCAACGAGTTGATCGAGAGTAAAAATGGCCGGTATAACCCGACTAATTACAAAATTTCACGTTTCTACGTAAAGTATTTGTCTTATCACTACTCCTCAATTTAGTAGTATTATAATACGTCCAATGTTTGGGAACAGCTTCAATTTTAGGTGTTTTTAATGTCACTTTTTTCTTTCATTAATTCTAAATGCATTTATATTTTGACATATTAAAGAACCTTTTTCCAGTTTGTTTACATTTTGTCTCAGAGGAAGATGAATAGACTATAGTTAAAATTGATCAGCTACGGCGTGTGATTAACTAGCATGCCTATTTGTATATTTATACTACGTACTTGGCATGTGCGATTTAGAATAATGTAATATTCTATAATGTAATATTTTAAATCGCTTAACTTTTAAGAATAAAATTTTATTATATACCTAATAAAAGTTTAATTTAACCTCACATTATTAATATGTGCCGAAGAATAGCATGACTGTGGTTGCTATGATAAAAAATTCTACCGATCGCATCTCAGAGCCAGCATATTGGGTCAGTCATTTTTAAAAAAAAGGTTTTCAAGAAAATGGCGGTTGTTGTCACGAAAAGATGTACTTCCGCTTCACTATTTTATTCTGTTCATGAATTGGATTTGGGAAAATATATTATGAGGAAGTTTTAGTTGATTACTTATAAAGTTAATCGCTGGTATATGGTTTAAATATGACTTTTACTAACGTACTACTTATAAGTTCAGCTTAATTCATTGAAAAAGCGCGGCAGTATTACACGGTTTATTTGTATGCATAAACGTGATAAAGTATTAATACACTATCTATTTTGTATTATAAATGCGTTTATGTACTTTTTTAAACATGTGTAGTTTTGACTTGTCTATTATCTTCATTAGTTTTGGTGTAATCCGGTTGAAATGTGTTAGTGAGTTCTTGTTCTAATATGACAACAATGGGTGAAACAGAAGAGTTCAATACTTTAGCCTTTGAAAAAAGGCTTATGCAGCTAAAGGACACTCAAGAGAGTATTCAGTCACTGTCTTCGTGGTGTTTGAAACAGAGGAGCCATCATAAAAAAATTGTATCTAGCTGGTTGAATGTGCTAAAAAGAGTTAAAGTTGAGCAGAGATTGACTCTGTTTTATTTAGCTAATGATGTTATACAGTATAGCAAACGAAAAAATTACGAGTTCGTTGAGAGCTGGGGCCTTAATTTGCAAAAGGCTACACCTTTGGTCAGGTTAGAGATAAAATACTAATTAAAAAATAAATCCTTGCCTACAGAGGTTATAATGTATGGTTGCTTGAATTAAAATTCACTTATAATTTTTTTATAGTGTACACAAAAGGAGAGTGAACACTAGTATCGACTGTATATTTAGATGTGTTGTTTAAATCAATACCTTTTTGAAATACTGAACTGCTGTGAATGTATTGGAAATACACTGTTTATTCTTTTTTATTTAAAAATTGTATGTGCTACACTCGCCTACATTTTGAAGTAAAATACATGAAAACTGTTGAAACATGTTTTATGTTATAAGTATGTTGTATGTAGTGTATATATGTTAATTGCCATAGTAAATAATTGCTAAATATCCTCATAAAGAAGATCAGTATTTATTAAAATGATTGTGGTTCATGTAATTAATTATTTTAAATTAAAATCCTTATGATAGTTTTAATAGGATGATAGTTTAAATAAGGATTTGCATGATTTTTTAGAGATGAAAAAGTACGACCAAAAATACTACGTATATTTAAGATCTGGGAGCAGAGATCTGTATATGATGATGAATTCCTGTCAGATCTCACAGGTTTGTTAAGTGCTGGAGCAATTAAAAAGACTGATGATGATCCTTTGGACTTCCAAGTAAGTTTGTCATAAATAAACATTAGTGAAGTTGGGCCGCCCATAAATTAAAGTCCATATGACACACTTAATTCATGATTTTTCTGCCCCATCACAGTTTGTTTTATACAAATTGTACTAAATATTGTTCTAATGGACCCCTTCATCCCTCATAATATATGAAGTAATATATGGACTTCTTGTTGGCATAATCATTACTGTGATCATATAACTGATTCAGAAGGCAGTTTAGCCATTACATTTATCATTTAGCAAATACTTATATTACCCGGTGTTAGATGCGATTTTACACTAACACATCTAGCTCCAGTGTAAAATCACAACTAATATCCATATTATAAGTATGAAATGCTCTGTTTGGTACTATTCATGGTGAAGGCCCCAGCAGTGGGAACTTTAGTAGCACATTATGAAATGAATATTGTTCATAGATATTTCATAAATGTTTATAAATTATTAATTTTAAGTCTATGTGAATATCAAACTTAAAAAGTACTTGATAACCCATTTGATTTTAATATGTATTTAGTTGTTAAGTTTTTTAGTAAAAAATTGGTCTTGTTTTAGCCTCAGCAGCTTGTTAATAAAATAAAACAATGTTCTGTATTAGAAGCAGACACAGATTTAAGGTTAAAGTATATCCATGAAAGTCCCCTGAAATTGTCAGATGCTGATGCTTTGAGTGCCAATCTTAAAGGTAAGCAATACTGAGATTAAAAGTTTTATTAAACTCTCTTCTTTAAAAAAAAAAATGATATTTTTTGTGTGACATGGGCCTTTAAAAGTCTTACAGCCTGTAGCACAAACATCCATTTAAATAGACTTTAGTATAAAGCAACATTACCGATACAGTATTGACATAATTAGAGCTTATAGGCTTCATTCAATATTAATAGATATTTGTGCAACTGCTTCTTAATTGGATAACAATTATAATGTTTTGAATACTTTTATTTCATATAATAATTTATATTTTTAAATGATGATTGTAAGTTTTTCAATATATATTTGCATTCTGCATCTCATGTCAAACAGCAATGAAGGACATGATATTATTCACGGGTGATTTGGTAATAAAACTATAAGAATGGTACTTCAAAATGAAATATAAATTTAACCATTTCTTTAAAATCAGTTACTTAATTTAAAATCCCATTTGTTCATATTTGAAGAAAGGAGTCTTAAAGATGATGTGGAAAAAGAATTAAATGAAGGAATATCATGTGTGGAGCGATACACCCAAGCTCTGCAAAGGGAAATTGTGGCTAGAGAAGCATTGCTTGCACTATTGACATCAGCCAACCAGTACTATTCTACCCAAAGGGGCGAAGTTAAAGTTGTCGCTTATGTAAGTTACAAATGTGACATAATAAATATTAGAGAAAAAGAAATTGCACAGAAAGGACAGTAGCAAAACCTACACCATTTATTACTATGTTTAAAGTACATTTATGATTATGTTTTAAAATGTTGCAATCAGGAAACTCATTTGTAATGTTCCTTTTATGTTAAATTGCAGTGATTTGAAATCAAATTACATATTACTCTAACAATATCATATTACCTTTGGAAAATGTGCTTTGTATTATGTTACGTTGCTGAGGCGCATTTTCGATGATTCTTATCAGTGGTTTATTTTATTGCTGTAATCATTTACACTTTTTACTGTAAAAGACATTTCATATTGAATCATTACTAGGCATACAAAAACTTCGGTGCGCGGGTACGTGCATTGAAGCGTAAGCTGGACGAGTTGATACCGACTTTACCAAATGCGGCACCTTCGCCACCTGAGAGGGATGAGGATGTGCCCTCGCCTGGGCCTGACGAGGACTTGGATCTGCCCGCGCCCACAGACAATGATGACGACGATAGTAAGATGTTAAATTAATTATCATCTATCTTAATTTTATTGATTTTTTCACTGGGCTATGTGATGTTTTTTTTTTTTAATAGAATTACGCAGTACAGAATGGCAGATGTTAAATATTCAGATTCAGTTCGGATCAACTGATTAATGTGTCATCTGTACAGAGGAGGCATAAGTCATATGCGATGTGAACCACGGCCTCGCGTATCAAAGTTTTTTATTGATTAAACACACTTAACATGGCAGATTTTGCCTATTAATTGACGATTTTTTTTAGGGTTTCATTTCGAAAATGCCTCTATTGCGCCATTGAAAGGTACTTTCTGATATGCTGTTGACTGTGCATAGGTCCTCATTCATATCAGCCTGTTGCAGTCCACTGCTGGATGTAGGCCTCCCCCAAAGTGCGCCACAAAACACGATCTCCCGCTGTCTTCATCCAGCCACCGCCGTCGGTTCTGCGACAGATGTGGCCAGCCCACTGTCACTTCAGCTTCTACATTTTTGGATGACATCCAGCACTTTAGCCGGATGACCTCATTCCGGATTTTATCCCTCAGAGACACCCCGATCTTTCCATAGCTCGCTGAGCGACATGTAGTCGGTGGGCCAACTTCACTGTCATGTTTCACGTTTCGGTTCCATATGTCAAGACTGGTAGGACGCATTGATTGAATTCAGGCATTGTGGCAGTGTGGACGAAAATATATTACGCAGCTTCCCAAATGCTGCCTAGCCCAGCTGCACTCTCCTGTTGATTTCTCGCTCGGAGTTGTCTCTACCCATCAACAAAAACGGGTACTGGGATACTTGTGTATTGAACATGATTTTAGTTTTGTTCATATTCATCCTGAGACCCACATGTCTCGAGGCAGCCAATGTTGCTTTTATGCACTGTCTCAATAGACAGTGCAGCATTTTTTTGCAGCGATTCTGGCATAATTACAAAGTCATCAGCAAAGCGCAGATGCGTGAGGCATTCGCTGTTTACATGAATGCCAAGTCCTTTCTACTCCAGGTTCTTGAAGACATCCTCTAGTGCGTCAATGAACAGTTTCGGAGAAATAACATCCCCCTGTCTCACACTTCTAAGCAACTGAATGGGTCTTGTCTGGTGGTTTTGTACTTGTATTGAATAGGCTTTTGAGTATCTCTACGTATCGCCAGTCAACTTGGTATCGCTGCATGGATCCCAGAACAGCCCAGGTCTCGATGGAGTCTAAGGCCTTCTCGTAGGCCACAAAAGCTATGCACAGCGCGTTGGTTATACTCTTCAGACTTCTGTATAACTTGCCTCACTGTGTGTATGTGGTCTACGGTACTGTAGCCTTTCCGAAACCCAGCCTGTTCCTGGCTGGAAGGCGTCCAATCTTGCAGCAAGACGATTTGTGACGACCCTCGGGAACAATTTATAGATGTGGCCTAGAAGTGTGATCGGTCTGCAGTTCTTAAAGAGACATTTATTTCCTTTCTTGAAAAACAGAGCCACCACACCCCTGCTCCACGCCTCCGGGGTAGTCCCATTGGTTATGACGGAATTAAATAGCTTCTTTAGTTTTCCAAGCACAGATACCCCTGCTATCTTAAGGAGCTTAGAAGTGATTCCATCTTCACCGGGGACCCTCTCATTTCCAAGTTGCTTGATAGCCACCGCAATTTCGTTTTTGTCAATGTTTGGAAGATTTTCAGTGAAATGGCGTATGAGTGTGGCTCTGGGACCCTTTGCATTGGATGAAGGCTTTGGGGCATGCGAAGCATAGAGTCGGCCATAGAAGTCTTCGATTTCAGCGACAATCTCTGGAACCGATGTGAGGATCCTGAGGTTTTGAGTTTTGTCAGATGAGTTATCCCAAGTCTTTTGGCAAAGACCTTTGACCACCGATTTTGCTCAATAGCCTCTTGTATGAGCAAGGTGTTCAACACCTAAGGAGATCACGCCGTACCAATCTCTGGATGTTATTATGGAGCGACCGCGTATCTGACAAACTCGCCTCGGTGTTTTCTCGAGGAAGTTTCATCAGTTCCAAAATCTCTCTAGAAAGTTTAGACTTTCGACTTGCTCGCTTTCCCTTAAAGTGCCTATTTTCCACTTCGCGTATAATCCCTACTACACATTCAAGGTCCTCGGCAACATTTGCCTTTGTTTCCAATGCGGTGATACGGACATATTAGGCTTGGAGCAGCGTTGGACGGAGAACAGATCTCGTCATGCGGCTTCTCTCTTCTTCTTGACTTCTTAACTTCTCGGATCAGTCGGTAATCACTTCCGGTATTAACCTATTGACAACGGAGACTCCCTAAATATGTGCTTCTTGTCTGTCATGATATCTATTTCGTTCTTTGTCCTGCCATCAGGACTTTGCCACGTCCACGCCCTTTGGGGCTTCTTTTTGAAGAAACTGTTCATACAAAACATGCCCTCCTTATTGAGGAAGTTAACTAGCATTTGCCCCCAATGGTTCCTGTGCCCATAGCCATGTGGTCCAATTAGATATGAGCGCCGATGGATAATTCCACGGCGGCGGCGTGGTGTAAAATATATTGCGGCGGCGACGGCGCGCCGGCGTGGTTTACATTTTTTGAAGCGATCTGATTGTTTTAAGAATAATGAAACCATATTATTAATACTTAAGAAAATATATATTTTAATATTTTTTAACAGAACTAAGTTAAATCACATTTCCAAAAACTAAACTAGCAACAGTCATTTTAATGAAATTGACCTGTGTAAGATTGCACGTTCTTGAATTGCAACTATTTTTAAGATAAATAAAATAAAACTGTTTCTAGATCAATACAAACTATCATCTAATCAAAATCGCTTTTCTGAAGCTGAATATTTTTTGCTGAAATAATATAAAATAGCCAGGAGCCAATATAGGTATATTGGTCGGTCTACATATTAGTGGTTATTGTACCAAAACGAGGACTTTGATTTATTTTTTTTTACATAAGAAAGCATATTGTTATTCACATCTTCCAGTCCATTTCGTGCTATATTGTGCCTGGAGGGCAGCTCTGCGTCAGCAAACAATAATGTACTTTTTCAAAATGACAATTATTGCATTCCAATACTTTGGTTTCTTGTTGTGTTAAATAAAAAACGTGTTGCTTGTATGACGGAGGTTTATTGAGTGCGCACATCAATTGAAATTAACATTGTACATAATTTTAACAGAATAAGCATAACGTGAGTTACTTATGTACGTAAACAGTGAGAAATAACACAAGTTCAGTTTAGTATGCTATCTATGCATTAACATTTACGTGTGTGCTTATTACACACACTTCACCTCCCCCGAAAAGATACTGCTACCCCTCCGCTCACTAAAAAGAAAAACTTAAAATAACAAAATTTTTGAACTACTTTGAACAATATTTATAAGAAAATAATTACTAACATTTATTGTAACGAGTTATACATTTTGAAAAGTGTTGTACAAGCATGTTTCTTTATTCGTAAAATAATTTTGTATTATTTTTGTGGACAAGACATTCTTTATTTCCTTTTTTAATTTTCACATTTGGAGATACATCTTCTATGACTTCAAATGGACCATTATATAGTCTATCCAACTTAGATCCTATTTGGTTCTTTAACAAAATTAAATCACCTTTTTTATACTTTACAGAATTACAATGCTTATCGAATAAGACCTTTCGTAACTGTTTACTTTGTAATAAAGTTTCTTTAGCATCGAAACGTGCTTTTTGTAATCGATACTTTAATTCTAAAACATAACTACCAAAATTATATAATGGATCTAAAGTTCTATATAAATTATTAGGTAAGTTGCACAGTTTTCCAAATACAAGCTCATAAGGGGTGTATTTTGTTTCGGTATGTACTGTAGTATTATACGAAAAGCACCAAAATTGAATCCAATCACTCCAATCCGTTTTGTAATTTGCACATTGTATTCTTAAATATGCCCCCAAATGTTTATGGCTATTTTCTAAAGATCCTAAAGTCTCATGATGATACGGAGTCGAGTTTAGTTTATTTACTTCTAATAATTTGCATGTTTCCGATAATACTGAAGACATAAACTCTTTCCCTTTGTCGGTTATTATTTCATTTGGGATGCCATAGCGTAGCACAAAATTATTTACAAAACATTTAGAGACTGTAATAGTATCCTTCGTCCTAAGAGGATACGCTTCTATAAATTTACTCAGATCACACTGAATTGTTAAAATATACTTAAAACTATTATTATCTATATCTAAGGGGCCCATTAAATCTAAGCTAATTCTTTGAAAAGCTGAACTAGCAGTTGTGGTAATTACCATTGGTTCCTTAACTTTCTTATTATGGAACTTATTTATTTGGCAAGTCCTACACTTTTTTACAAAGTTACTGACGTCATTAGTTAGTCCTGGCCAGAAGTAATAGTTCTTTATATTATTGAGCATGCGATTTATCCCTGCGTGTCCGCTAGTAGGTAATAAATGAAAGTCGTTTAAAATAACTTTTTTATCGTCATCATCAAAAATCCTCAACACGTCTCTGGTAACGAGAAAACGCGGTAAAGTAAGTTGCAACCTCTTCATTTCGCGTAATAAGTGTCTTAAACATTCTTCATTATATTTATTCTTTACAATTAATAACTCTTTTATTTGTAAATGTCGACATAACTGTTCTAAGTCTCTCGCTAACACCTGCGCGGTCGATAACGATCGAGAGCATAGAAATATCGCTGATTGCGATGGAACAAACGTACATAACTTTCCCATGGAAATTATGTTATCATTATTCATTAGACATTTTTCATTATATTTTTCAGTAAAAATTAATTCTACAATATCGTCAGGTCGTTTCAGAACTTCCATAGCCGCAGGTTGATCAGACCTTAAAGCTGTGAAAGGTTCTGTAGTCTGTCTGTCATTGGCAGCGCTCGTTAGTTGCTGTCGCTGAGCTCTTGTTAAAACAGATATCACATGGTCGCGCATTTGCTTGAAATCGTTGGACGTTAACGGGAGTCGACTTAACGCATCTGCAGC